CACCAGTGTGCAGCCCCACCTGGATGATGCGACGGCAGCCATAGTGCGCCAGAACGCTCACCACACATCAGCTATCAGTGGGGAGGAGAGCAGAGAGTAATGAAGCCAGTTCATAGAGGGGGATTATTAGGAGGTCTTGACTGGTAAGGGCCGATGGGAAATTTGGCCAGGACACCGGGGTTACACCCCTACTCTTTTTGAGAAACACCCTGGGATTTTTAATGACCACAGAGAGTCAGGACCTCGGTTTTACGTCTCGCCCGAAGGACAGGTAAGACGTTTCATCTTTCTAAAAGCTAGAAAGATGAAACAAACATCTGCGGTAAGTTGGGACCCTTCAATCCTTTCGCTCCCAGGCTTCACCCCCTTTGTCTCTCCCTCCGCAGGTGATGATGGAGAAGGATGCCCTGATCCAGGAGGCCGCAGGAGAGAACAACAGCCTGAAGGGGGAGCTGCGCAGCCTGCTGGCGCAGAGGGACGACCTCAATGCCGAAAAGGCGAAGCTGAGCGCCGAGCTCCACGGCTACAGGGACGACCTGACCCAGGTGCTCAGCATGAAGGAGTCCCAGCACCGGCAGCTGCTGAGCGCACAGCTGGAGCGCGTGGGCGCCCTGGAGAGGGAGAGGGAGCAGGGCCAGGCCAGGGTCCGAGAGCTGGAGAGCAGGATACAGGAGCTGGAGAGGGAGAGGGCAGAGGCAGAGGGCAGGATACAGGAGAGGGAGAGGGCAGAGGCAGAGGGCAGGATACAGGAGAGGGAGAGGGCAGAAGCAGAGGGCAGGATCAGGGAGAGGGAGGAGAGGCAGGGAGAGGTGAGGGAGGTGGAGAGAAGCGCAGACGGAGAGACGGCGCGGGGCCCGGCCGCCAGCGAGCGCGAGAGCGAGGCGGAGGAGCTGCGAAGAGCCCAGGAGCGGATCGCCTCCCTGGAGCGCGAGCTGCGCTGGGACGCGGGCGTGACGCGCACCCAGGCGGAGGCGGCGGAGGAGCGCGTGGCGGAGCTGTCGCGTGACCTCCTGGAGACCGAGCAGAGGCTGCTGTCGGCCCGGGAGGAGGCCGCCGAGCTGCGGGTCCAGAGCGAGGCGTTCGGGCGGTCCATGGCGTCGCTGCAGGACGCCCGCGATGAGGCGCTCAGCCGGGCCCAGGCTCTGCAGCGCCGGCTGGAGGAGCTGGAGCAGGGGGCGGGCTCGCCTTCGCCCCCTGCTGGCCGCCAGGGGGAGGTGCAGGCCCTGCGGAACGCACTGGCGGCCCTGCAGAGCGACCGAGAGAGGCTGGTGAGGCTCTTCACTTCCTCTTTCCCCACAGCCTTGCGTACGAGAGCGGCGCTCGCTCCGGGTTTCTCTGAAAGCAAATTTAAGACTTGAAATTAGGGCTGGGCGATATGGCCAAAAACATGATCACGATAAAAATGTTCAAATCAGTCGATATCCATAATGATCACGATAAATGTCAAATCATTATTTCTTTCAAGTTAAAAGGCAGATTTTTTCTCCTGAGGGAAAGTTGAAGAAACCAGACAGTTAATTGGTAAATTAAACAACTCTTCGAGCTGGTCGTTGGCAGCACTACATTTGCTTCAGTGTCGCTCATTTCTCCACTCTTAGCTACATTCCTGTCAGCCACCACCGTGTGGGTAAACACCACCACGTCAGCTGCCCGGTCTGCAACACGCACGCGCACTCGCGCAGTATTGTGTACGCATGCACCTATCCTGCGCAAAGCATAAACATATATGTCGAACATTTTCGAACTTTTGTTAAAATTATATCGAGGAAAATTATATCGCGATAATTATCGTTATCGAGTTATCGCCCAGCCCTACTTGAAATAGTCAGAGTTTGTGCTGTATATGCAACAGACTTGTGTGTATGTGTAAATATTATGTAAATATTGTGAATATTGGAAGTGAAACGTTGACAATTGCAGTGGATTTAATTTCCACTGCATTTCCACTCCACTCGTTTCCAAGAGGTGTGGAGGGAAAGACTCATTCCCAGAGCCTGGGGGAGACGCTGTCTCTTAGAGGCTCACTGCATTGCTTGAGAAATCTAGCTACCATTTCATCAAGAGACCTTCATCACAGGCTTGCTAAAAGGCTTCATTGACATTTCAGAGTTCTCCAGAATGTGTGACCTTGCCTTTTCTTATAAGTTAGCTGTTTTTTTTCCCTACACATCTGGCCTGAATCCCATTGATGCGCTCAATAACTGCAGTCACCGGTGTGGGGGATAGGACTCCTCCGTTTGCCTATTCCAGGTGTAAGGAACTGCAGGCTGTTGTTAGGAACTGCTCTGACTTGGCTGGCAGGGACAGTGATCAGGGGGCTGTCTCTCTTCCTGTAGTGCAGGCAGGCTGGGGGTGTCCTTTCAGCCTGTGTGTTAACTCCCCCTAGTGGCACCTTACGGTAAATCACCTGATTTTCAATACGATTCTGTAGCAGCTGTTACAGCTCCGCAAACTCGTCTTCATTCTTTTTAACTACTGATTTATACCACGGGCAGGACAGAACTTGCCTAGTCTCGTTACTTTTATCAGTTCAGTTCAAGTCAAAGGCATGGCTAATCTATTTCACTGTTGCTAGAGCACAGCGAGTTGCAACCGTTAGCTACAAGAGGTGTTTAAAAACTGCGCTGTAAAGAAAAATATAAATATAATCATGAACAATCAGCAGGATCTCAAGGGGGAAAAAAACACCAACTCTGTCTGCACAATGGCCACAGTCACATAGCCAAGACAGTGCAGTAGAATCAAGCTTTCCATATCAAAGCAGTGCTTCCACCCTCTGCATCGGGCTCGTGCCTTGTGCCCTACTCTCTCATGGGTCTCCTGTGTCTCAGCTGGAGGAGCTACAGCTGCAGAAGGCCCGGTGCACCACGCTGGAGAAGGAGGCGGTCGGCCTGGCCAAGGTGACCCAGGAGCTGGAGGAGGAGAGGAGGAGGCTGGAGGCAGCAGAGCAGCTGGCCAGAGAGAGGCTGGAGGCAGCAGAGCAGCTGGCCAGAGAGAGGCTGGAGGCAGCAGAGCAGCTGGCCAGAGAGAGGGCGGAGACAGCAGAACAGCAGGCCAGAGAGAGGACGGAGGCAGCAGAACAGCAGGCCAGAGAGAGGACAGAGGCAGCAGAACAGCAGGCCAGAGAGAGGACAGAGGCAGCAGAACAGCTGGCCAGAGAGAAAGAGGCTGAGCTCCAGGAACTGGAGACGCTCAGGTAACATCAAAGGCTTCTGGGAGTCACCTGCGGGTCAAATAGCTGCTGATGTCATTCAGGTCCCCTGCCGCATGCGGGCTCTGACGTGGACAGTGTGTTTGCTGCTCTCTCCAGGCAGGAACGCACGGGCTGGCAGTCCCAGGCAGAGCTCCTGAAGCAGCAGTTCCTGGTCGCGCTGTCCGACAAGGAGCAGCAGATTCGCGACCTCAGTGCGCTGTTGCAGGACGTGAGGTCATCTGGCCCTACCCATGTCAGGCCAAAGGTCACAGAGGAGCAGTACCAGCGAGAGGTAAGGTGACATCACTGCAGGCTGAGGGATTTCTCCTGTAATGGCCTTGTATTTTCTTTGCTCTGACTGAATGCCAGCACATTGGTGCACCAGTGATCGGCAGGTGTCGGAAGAACATTGTTTTGTCATAACCTACAGCTGTTAACATCGGTATAACAGACGACCGGTGTCAACGGGCGTTCCATCATTCCATCTGACTGATAGCAGTGAAAAAGAGGGGTTACCTCTCTTAACGTTGGTCTTTACTTCCTGTTCTTTGCCCCCTCTCCTTCTGCCCAGGCTTCTCCAGGGGCAGACCTGTCCAGCGAGGCCCTGGCCTCGGAGTTGCGTGCCCTGCAGACAGAGAGCGGGCAGCTGAAAGGTCAACTGAACGAGTCCCTGAAGGAGCTCCACCTGAAGGAGCTCAAGATCCAGCAGCTGAATAACAAGGTGCCGCGTCCCCTGTACTCAATCCCATTCAAGGCGCTTTAATGGCATGACCAATGAGTAAAATCAGGGTTGCCAAAGCAAAACAAATGCAATTAACGTAAAACAAAAATCCACAGACATTTACAATAAAGACAGTCATAAGATATTTACATGTAAACATATGGGGCATTACCGGCAGACAGGCTCACTGCTCCTCAGGCTGGGACAGGAGATTGGGCTGCCAGTTCAACCGAGCTCCCTCCTCCCTCTCCCAGTAGGGTTGGGACTTGTTGTGATTCTGGCTGGTGTGGGAATTCTGGGATTAGATTTGTAAATTTAGGGAAGAATCTCTCTAATCCCAGAATATTTGTCACAGTGCTCACTCTCCGGCTCACTGAGCCGAACTCACAAGAACTGCTCTCTCTCACTCTCTGGCAGTCTCCTCTTTCCATTCCTCCGTGTCTCCGCTCTCGGGGTCTCTGCTTGACTCTTGCAGTCTTTCTCTCCATGCCAACTCTCCTGTGCCTCCCTCCTTCAGCCTCTACAAGTTACACGCTCAACGTAATCTCCTGTGTCTCCCTCTCTCTCTCTCTCTCCAGCTGTCCCAGGTGTTTGAAGAGAAGCGGTCCGTCTCGGCCCAGCTCCGGGGTAGTGCTCAGAGGCTGAACGAGGCACAGAGCCGCTGCGGCGCCCTCCAGAGGCAGCTCCAGGAACTGCAGGATGAGAAGAGCAAGGTCTGCACAGCATCTCTCACAGCAGCCCAGTCTGCCTCACTGTTATGTGTTTAATCATAGTGATGCAGTGCAAAATATACAAGGAATATAGATGATCTATTGCATCATATTTATGAAGTTTAATCATTGTTTTTAATCTGATATATTTGTACAGTTATAATACTTTAATTAATCATTGATGACTCGTAACAGATCAGCAGAATTGGTAAGATCACAGAGCAGGAGAGATCATTCAGTCTAGCTTGTGCCTCTCTGCACCCCAGAACGTGGCCTAATTCTTGTCCACCCCGAAACCTGAGGCGTCTTAATTGCTTTTATGAGGGATGTACAGACCTTTTCGCCCCTCTCACGGTCGGTGACCAAGCCAGCAGGGCCAAGTGGCATCGTGTCTGGCTTACACTCTGACCCTGCCCTTTCTCGATCCCAGGGCTCCCCTGAAATCGACAGTGCCCCCGGAGCACCCCAGGAGAGAAATCTCACGGACAGCAAAGGGAGTGGGATGGATATCAAGGAGCTGCTGCACAGGTACAGCAGGCACACGGACGTTTCTGTTCCAGTCTTCCCGAGGGTCTTTTCATTCCGATTCCACTCTTCCAATGTGCCGTGGGGTTTCTGAGTAAGTCGTGGACTCTGCCGGGGCATCCCCACCGTTTGTCGACCGCTTGGCAGGCGTTGCACTATTCGGTGGGGATGTTTTAATCAGATTCTGTCGCTGCATTGATAGACATGGAGTCCCTACCTTCTTATCCCAAAATTCTTTGCTGATCCGATGTCAGTGACGCTCCCAGTGACGTCTTTCCCTCCCTCCCTCTCCCTCTGATTCCTGTCTGTCTCCCCCCTCCAGGCTGGAAGAGGAGCGGGAGAGGAGGCAGGCCCTGGAGGAGGAGCTGGGAGCCGCGGAGGAGCGCCTCAAACGGTGCCTCTTGACTCTTACTTTTAGCTTGTGATGGCGTGTGGTAAAGCTCGATGGCACGCAATTCTTAAAACACACTGAGGTCTGCATTTCTGTTCCATGTGTTATTAACCCTGGCTGTGCGCGTCAGCCTCTGTGTATGTCCCTGCATACGCCCGTGCTCCTGTCTCTCTCCTGGGGGTGTCTGTGTGCTGCAGAGCTGATGGTGTCTGTGTCCCCCTGTCAGGTCCACTGTGAGTGAGTGGATGTCTCAGCAGGATGTGGAGCCCCTGGAGCATGCTGTTCTGATCGAGCCACCAGAGGGCGCTGTCACCAAAGTGAGTGTCTGCTGCCGTTCTCCGGCATTCAGTGTTTCTAAGCTCTGGGCCTTGGGATTCAGCGACAGGAGCAAGTCTTTAATCCATCAAGGATCTGCTCACCTGTTTTAAACACGGCTCTGTTTTTCAAGCAGACTGAGATTTACTTTTATTTGTATTAATTGTGCACTTTAACTTTCACCACACGAGCCCTTTTATAAGTGAGTGCTCAGGACAGTGGCATGCTGCTCTCTGTGTTTGAACTGTAGTTTATGCATAACATAATGGTCCTCTCTTTTTTTTCCTTTTCCTTATCTTGATCTTTTCATTTTCATATCCCTCTGTCACTTTCCCTGCTCCACCCCTCCCTCAATTCATTTTCTCCCCCTCTTTCTTCTCCCTGTGTCTATTTCTCCTCTCCCTCCACCACCACCTCTCCTTCTTAAACCCCTGCCCTGTCTCCCGTCCTCCTCCATCTCTCCTCTCCCAGATGCGGAGTGGAGGGCCCGGGCTGTGCAGAACTCTGCGCTCGCTGTTCTGCTCCCGACAGCGCACCCCCCTGCTGGCCACCCTGTACCTGCTCACGGTGCACGTGCTGCTGGTGCTGTGCATGGGGGGCTACCTTTGAGACACAGTCACACAGACGGACTGGCCACCTGGTGGGAAGAGAGAGAGAGCCTGACTCTGCCCAAGAGAGCCTGAGTAAAGCCTGACTTTACTCATGGTACTCTGGGGAGCGTCTCTGAAAGACAGATACAAAAGTAACATCACTACGACACCTTGGCATTTGAAAGCACAGATAGACACCTCCCCTTCATATTTCTATAAGAATATTTTTTTTATTTTTTGTAAAGAATTTCCTCTACCTGCTCACTCTGTATATCCTGATCTTTGTGGGCCTGGGCAGACTTCCTGAAGGACAGTTTGATAGACATGTATATATCAAAAGAACTGACATGCCGGCAGGCCCAGATAGTGAAAGGGAAAACTGACAGGCACTGAAGGGCAGGTTAATAGCACCCTCCATAGCCCTGGGCCCCTGGAGTGAATCACTTGCGTTAATCAGCTGAACTCAGCATCACGGATGCGCATTGAATTACAGATGTAAATAACATTCGCGCAGACAATGAATTTTTGATATAGTGCTCTTTAATGTAAAGTGACAAGCAGATTCAAGAGGGAATAATGAGCTTTTCAGAGATAACGCATTAGATTTTTGGGGAAACCTTTCCTGCTGGTTCCTGTTACCTGTTCTTGGATCATGGTCTTTCGGGGTCCTTTGAAATCCATTGGCTCCCAGTTTTGCTTTTACAGGCACAAGTGTGCTCTGGATCTTCGTTCCTGTAACACTGTGTTGCTAAGAACTGGATAAGTCACCCAATTTTAATGGCTCACACCTCTGCGCAGCACTGGGACAAACACAGCGTCCAGTCGGGGACAACCCCGGTGGCCCGGAGATAGGGGCATTTGGGGGTATAAAGATGAGCTGTTTGTGTTACTGAAGAGTGAAAAAGCGACACGCTGTGTCTGGACTGGCGATCCCGTCTTTTATCAACCTTGTTTTTTCCTGTCTCCCTCTTTCCTGTGTTCTCTGAGGGCCTGGGTACTCAGAGTCCTCGGCCCCTCGAGGAAGGGGCTGTGGACATTTCTGTGAAACCGGGGAGGTTAATGGGACTTTTAGTTAACTACATTCCAGTGGAGGGTTTAGGTGCTTCTCTGTACTACTATCATGTTATTTTATCATTTTGTTATTAGTTGAAGGTGATTTCTTCCTCAATGATTCTTTTCTGTAAAGGACAGTGGGAAGAAACCTGTAGTTCTTCAGCCCTGGTCCTGGAGAGACCGGCCCAGGCAGTTCTGGGGTCCCCAGCCCTGGTCCCAGGGAGCCCCAGTCCGATTCTGTCACCCCAAGACTCCTGGTTTTCAGTTTGCAACCTATTGATCCACCGAGCAGATCAGTCTGTTCGAGGGAGCTCTAGACTTTGGGACTCGGAGGGAATTCTGATTTTTATTCAGATGAATAACTCAACAAGCTGCCTGTTGAGTGGATGGCCGATAATTTTTTTCGGCTCTTAAGGAATTGATGAATTCGCGGTCACCTATATAACCTACTGAACAGGGCTCTGCTGTAACAGGGTTCGAGCCTCCTGCTGGAGGGACTCTGGGATGGGACTGGTTTCTAAGCACAATGTCAGCTCTGTGTTTATCAATCTGTATGACCAGTGTAAAATAACCCTTCTCACACCTTTTATAAATAAAATGTATTATTTATGGGCAAAGTTGGCATTGTGTTGTGCTTATTATAATTATTGATGGTAATTAGGTGTTATTACAGAACCATTGAATGTAAGACTATTAACCGAAATCATTGTTTTTGCTTGCGAAAGCACCAATATTTTTGTTGAGTTTTTTCTAGGTAATGCTTGCATCAGAAATCCTAAAGTTTTGATTTTTAAATTTAAAAGAGAAGAAGCGAAGGGAGTTCATAAGCAGTGTATTAGCGCGAAGTGAAGGTGTCCTATGACTCAGAGCTGTATTAAGACACAAGGCATTCTGTTGCTCTCTTGTGAGAGTTTTTGTGCTCGGCTGAATTGCGTGTAGCATTTCACGAGAATGCAGAAGTCTGTTCTCGCGCACCGCGTGCTCGTCCGCGAAGCCTCGGGGACGCGCTGCATTTCCTATACCCCGCAGGCTGCGCGTCCCCGAGAGAGCACAGGTGCAGCGGCTTCTCTCGCAGCAGAAGAAACAAAGTGTTTATAAAACTCCCTTCGGGCAGTGACGCTGCGGTAAGAATAAATGCCATGACTTTATTGAGCGGTTTATGTTAAAGTATTAGTCTTATTTAAACGGTCTGTTTTTTTATTTTTTAAAACGACTTCTGCAAAGGCAGCTTCGAAAAATTCAGGAAGTTGTCAAAACTTTTACAAAAGTTGTTTCCACAATTTAAAGACTTTTTTTAAAAAAACAGATTTACCAGAGAGACCGTGTAACCGTTCGTTTTTAATTTCGACGTTGTTTTGGTTCAATTAAGCCTCATAAATTCAAGAAATGTGGGTTGTCCTGTTGGAATGGAAATTATATAAAAAAATGGAAATGCTAAAATGCGCAAGAGTAAATGCGCTCTTGGGTCGTCCTGTGTGCAGGTTTGGGGACTGTTTTTTTCCGCGCAGAGAAGCGAATTTGTTAATTGGGTTGAGGAAGTGTAATTTCAAGTGCGGAGACTGAGATCTGGATGGGGAGGAAGTGACGGGGGGGCTCGCACAGCCGCGCGCTGGGTCCAGAGATGCGCTCGGGCTCGGCTTGGTGCTGCTGCTGCTGCGTGACGTCATTACCCTCCTCGCTACATTCGCTATTTATAAATCGACAAACTTGGGACATGCAGGTCTAGCGCTGTTTCTCGTCGGGTCCGTGATCGTGTGGGTGACATCGCAGCACCCGTGAGAAGGAGGGGGGAGGGTCACCCGGCATCCTGGCTCAATCGGGATCTCAGGCCAGGGCGTCTTCTGTTCGTCTTTTCTGGTGCTCTGCTTCTAGCGGCTCAGTTAGGAACGTAAGAAAAGTCGTCGAGGCCACTCGGTTGCTAAATTGAGCAAGAGCTCCCATCCAGGCGCGTCTGGCACATTTTATAATTGACGTTTCCATTAAAAAAAACACTGTCTCCAATATGACCGTCTACAATTGTCTTCAGTTTATGAGGTGTAATTGAACAAAAACAGCGCTGAAATGAAAAACGAACGCGCAGATTCAGTCGCTCTGGGGAAGATTGTTCAAACATCTTTAACTTATGGAAACTGGCAAGCGATGGTTGCATGTAGTCACGTCTAGAGTTTTTGCAGGCAAGGAGTGAAAACAATGAAATGAAACGGGAACCTCGGAGCAGAAATAGGCTGCTTATGGAAATGACACATCATTCACACCTCACGGGCTCCGTCTAAAAACAAGTCACCCCGGCTGCCATCCGCTGGAAAGCGCAGGATTCAGTCCGGGGAGTGCGTGTTAAAACTGTACGATGCACTAGTGTAGAATACTGTGTATGATTTTAGTCACCACTCTCTGTACAAGATATTGCTGTTCTGGAAGGAGAACAACCAGACCCCTTCCAGGTCTTGGGAGAGCGTCCTGCACCGCCGGGCTGGAGGAACCGAACAGAGAAGACAGTGGGGGGCTGATACAAGTATTCAAGAGGCTCAAAATCACCGACGTAGTCAACCCAGCGAACGTCCTCGCACGGAGCAGTGAAACACCCATCGGGGGACACGGGCGGAAACTTAGTGGAGATGCAGTTAAAACTGAGGACAGGAGGGCTTCTTATTCAGAGAGTGGCGGGAGAGTGGAACAGGCGGCCCGGCCGTGTTGCTGAAGCTGATCCCCTGTTTTCTTTCAGGACGGACATGTGGCAGGGCTGAAAGGTCAGCACCAGTGACTGGTCCGTCTTGACCAGTCTGACATCACCCCCCCCTTGTGCTCTCGCTCCTCTGATTCGGATTCTCAACACAACAAATCAAGGCAAAAGTTGAAACGGATGCAATAAAAGACTGATAAGGCATGATCAGCGACAAATTAGCAGCCTTAAAAATGCTTAGATTTTCTTAAGACAAATATGGCTGCTGCTGCTTGGCCAGCAGTCATATCACCCTGCAAATCACAGCTGGCAGCTCACTGAAGCTCAGCAGGTGTGAGCCTGGCCAGTACCTGGATGGGAGACCTCCTGGGAAAGCTGAGGTTGCTACTGGAAGAGGTGTTAGTGCAGCCAGCAGGGGGTGCTCACCCTGCAGTCTGTGTGGGTCCTAAATCTCCAGTATAATGATGTGGACACTATACTGTAAAACGGCGCTGTCACTCAGATGAGACATAAAACTGAGGACCTGACTCTCTGCGGACATTGAAAATCCAAGGGAGTTTCTCGAAAAGAGTAGGGGTATTACCCCAGCATCCAGCTCAAATTTCATCCTGGCCTTTACCAGTCATGGCCTCCTAATAATCCCCATCTGTGAACTGGCTTCATCCCTCTGTTCTCCTCCCCACTGAGAGCTGGTGTGGGGAAAGTGTACTGGAGCACTATGGCTGCTGTTGCATCATCCAGGGGGAGTCCCCATTACCTGTAAAGAGCTTTGAGTGGAGTGTCCAGAAAAGCGCTGTGTAAGTGTAAGCAGTTATTATGATGCAGGTTTCTGATTATTTAGAAATATATTTAGAAATATTTATTCTATTATGATCCTTGGGTGTAGCCAGGGTAGAAATACAGCTTGTTAGACATTTGTTAGACTATCAAGGCCAAAATTAAACAATAGCTTGGTTACCAGTAAATACAGCTGAATAGAAGTAAATGCTAAAAAGAAATTTCCAAATATCAGCAGAGCACAAGTCTTGTATTCCTCAAGATGCTGGAGGACAAGGTCAAGAAGGCATATTATAGCATCTTCCACACCCCTACCTGCCCTGTACGCAAGCTGAAGTGGGTCTAACTGATCCTGCACCTCAGCCTCTGCTGAAGAGACGTACAGACGTGCAGCAGCAAAGCGGAACTGGTCTGTTGAGACGTGTTTCTCTCCTCCCTCCAGATGTGGAAGTCAGTGGTGGGACACAATGTCCAAGTGAAGGTGTCCGCCGAGGGGGACGACTGGGAGACGGACCCTGATTTTGAGGTGAGTGAGGGACAGTCAGGGTGGCCAAGAGCAGGAGCTCCCGGACGGGTTCCCGAAACTGCAGTCTGTTCGCTGCCGTGTCCGAGACTGCGCGCGTCTGGCCGTCTTGCACAAGGCCTGCTTGCCCAGCCGGTGGCCTGGGATGTCTGTGCAGAGACATCAGAGCCCATAGGGAGTGTCTGCTACGAGCCTGCCAGCCCCGTTTCTGAGGCAGTGCCCCTGACCTCTGGCTTCGTCCAGTCAACAGCTGGATGAGACCCTTGGATCAATTCGCTGCGAAGCTCCCAAATGGCGTGGGTGGGGCAAGTGGCCTCCCCTCGTCTGATGCTGTTCTCCTGTCCCCCTCTTTCCAGAATGATGTTTCGGAGCAGGAGCAGCGATGGGGAGCCAAGACCATAGAGGGATCAGGGAGGGCCGAGCACATCAGGTATGAACGCTGAGGTGGGAGAACGCTGACAGAGGCGCTCGCTGTCTGTATCGAAAAAACAGTCGCTCCCCTCGTCCTGTAGTACCGGGACGTACTTGGATATCTCCCAGACTCCAGGGGCAAGGACAAGTCCTATACCTCTTGATCACCCTTTGATTGGCTCGGCTGTAAAGGGGACTGATTCAATGATATGGATTAGTCTAGCTGGGACTGTTCTCTATGGATATGAAATATGCACCGTCCACTCCACATAGAGAGAGAGAAAGCAAGGTAGTAAGATTGAATTGGAAGAAATGGCTGGTTATTTTATGCTGTATATGTGTAGTAGAACAGAGGCTCAGCATTTATTAGAGAGTGACGCTGGTGCTGTGCTGCAGTTCCATTGTTGTGGTCTGCGGTGTCATGGCGGCCTTTGAGCCATCACCGTGGCAACTGTGGAAACAGGAAGAGGAAGTCCATGGCCAAGCAGTGATGAGCTGCCTGTACTTTGCCAAATAAGGGCTTGTGAAAGTGACTGGCTGAGTCAGCTGTTGAGCATAGAAAGGTTTCATGAGTTTCAAGACAGTTTCCCATTTTTTGTGTCACATTTTTTCAACGTGTAAGTATATGTTCCAGTGTGGATAAGCCACCATTCATTCAAGTGATGTTCAAAATCCCAAAATGTTTTATGCCTGGTGACACAATAATACATGAATAAATCTGTGATGTTACTTTTCGCAAGAGGTTGTACAGAGGTAAACCTCTGTCCCTCAGAGGGACCTGTTCTGAAAGAGTGACCCACTGAGGTTTTAATTGGTCCCTGGTGTGCGTAGGAGTGTTTCTGTTTGTGTGTGGAAGCATGTGTTTGTATGTTTGCATGTGTTTACATCTGCATGTTTGTACATATGCTGTACATATGCTTGTGTTTGCATGCCGGTGTGTTTGTATGTTTGCCAGTGTTTGCGTGTGTGCATGTGTCCATGTGCTTGTGTGTATGTGCATGTGTGTTTGTGAGTGTGTTTGCATGTGTACACATGTCTGTGTGTTTTCAAGTGTTGTTCATTGTGTGCACGCGCGCACGCATTTGCGCACAGACGTGTGTGTATTTGTGTGTGCATTGGCGCGCACACGTGTGTGTGTATTTGTGTGTGCATTGGTGTGAACACGTGTGTGTGTTTGTGTGTGCATTGGCGTGCAGACACCTGTATGTGTTTGTGCGTGTGCGAGA